ATTGGACGGAAGGTGATAGTACGAAGAAGGGACAGACTTCGTGGATTTCAGGCCATATCCACTCATTCGCTCAATCTGTGTTATATCATCAATAACAGCTACAAATCAGCTAAACATTAAACAAAAATTAATCTGTTTTAACATAATGTTTAATAAATTGTGAGAATATTAATGGTTTCAAATTATTATTATTATTGAACTAATTTTAATTAAAAAAAATTAATTGAAATGGAAAGGAATTTGGGCTTTATTTGTGATTAATAAATTTGCAATAAATGTTGGGCAGTAATGTCACAGCTTTCTACTTGTAACTATCAACAAATCTTGGAAGGAGCTGTCACAATTTAAAAGATGAATGTGTTGGGTGAGTCATAAACCCTAACTACTCGTACCTCATCTCGCAAACGAGAATTTTCAATGCGCAAATGTTGGTCGTCGAAGGACATCTCGCCGAGGGCAGTGGCGGAGGAACCACAGTTGGGGCAGGTGGAGTGGGCGAATGCTTCTCTATAGCGAGTATTCTCAGCTCGAAGCTTTTCATTTTCAGCTTTCAAAATGGCGTTTTCATGTCTTTCCTGTTGAGCCTTCTCGCATTGAAAGAGAACAACAAAGGTTAAGTTAAGTAACCATAATTTCTTGAAGAAGAATAAATAAAGAAAAGGGTTTTGAACCTTCATTTGGGTGCGTTTGTTCTGAAACCAAAACTTGACTTGCAATGGCTCTAACCCCAGCTCGCGGCTAAGATCCATTCTCTGCTTGTCATCTGGGTGCGGACATTCCTTAAAGAATCTGAGACGACGACGACAACAACAACAAACTCCATATAATTTTATTTATTCCACATAATTATAAAGGTTAAACAAATGCTTACGCTTCCATTTCTTGGATTTGGTGGTGTGTATGGCGATTGTAACGTCTCTTCTTGGAGCGTTGTTGATGATCACTCTCACAAGGCGGCTCGAAGGTGATTTCAGGTCCTGATTTGGACTCAAAATCATCGTCTCTCACATGTTCCAACTCGTTCCCGGAGGTGTTAAACGCCATGTCAAACATATGATGGTGAGGGTGAGGGTGTAGTGTATGGAACATATCTGGATCGAACATCTTCCCCGAAATTCCACTTTTTATTATGATCAAACCCCTTCACCACCTTCAATATATGAACAACAACATTGATTTTTATCGGTTTTAATGATGTTGTAACAATGATTGTAAGTACATTTAATACAAATAATAAACAACCAAAATTGAATCAGAGAAAAGAAACTGACCGAATGAGTTGGGTTGAGTTAGGTTAGGTGGGCGAGAAACAGGCGTGGGGGAAAGGGAGATGGGGTTGAGAGAATATAAAAGGTGTGTGTAAGTGAGGCGTTGGAGTAAAAGAAGAAAGATGGTGGAAGAATGCGGTGAGGGTGTATAAGTAATCCCACTGGGTGTGCACTGAACTCACACCAAAAGCTGATACACAGCAACACCTCACTCGTCAATTAAAGACACATGCATACATACATGCATGCATGCATGCATGCATGCATGAGTGAAATTGTATGAGGAAGAGGAAGATGACGTAAATGCCGAATTTGAAGAACAAAAGACGGAGGATGTTTATATTTATATTTTATGTATATGTATGGTTTGTTGTTAGTGTTGCTAAGCACATTAGGAGGAGCGGTTGATGGTAGTAATGAATAAGGGAAAGATAGGGATGGAAATGGAGAGGCAATGGCAATGGCAATGGCAATGGCAATGTGAGGAAGACAGAATAAAGGAAGGTTGGTGAGATTTGCAGAGAGGGTGTTTAAGAGGTATCAAATTTCATTTAATGGACACACAAAGAGATAGGGTATGGTGAAAAGAATTACTCCATAATTTACTATCTTCAACCTCTCTCTCGCACACTCTCATCACATTAAATACATCATTTTTAAAACCTCTTATTTCCCCATCAAAACGGCCTCTAAATTCGGATATGCCTTTACTTCATTTCACTTTTCCGCATTCAATTTTATTTATTTATTGTTTCCTTCTCTTCACCATCACAAACCCTAACTTCATGATGTCACCTTCGAGTAGTACAACACCGAACAAATCATTTCATTCATTCAATGCCTTCACATCCGCATCTTTCTAAATATATATATAAAAAAATTAAAAAATTAAAAAATGAACTTATCTTTTTTGAATTGGAGTATTGAGGTGGTCTTCTTTATCCTTCTCTTTTCCGCAGCCGGATGTTGTGGTGGTCCGATGCTCTCTGCCACCGTCTGTAACTTCCTCATTTATTCACTCAACCAACACTTGAGGACATCATCCTTTGTTTCTTTATCTCTCTATAGTGGTATGATATTATCTACGTAATTCTTAAAATAGACATGAACTCGGAAAGGCCGCTGTTACTCTGGTCCCAATTGAGCAACACAACGTCCAAGTCCAGTAGATTTTTTTTTTTTTTTTTTTTTTTTTTTTTTTTTTTTTTTTTTTTTTTTTTTTTTTTTTTTTTTTTTTTTT